ATTACTAAACCTGCTCACCAGAAATGGCTGGAGGCAACTGGGGGCAGCTAGAAAGACTGGCTGAGCACAGAAAGGCAGTCAAAACCAAGGCAGAGATAAATAAGGAGCAAATTAAGAAAAGGAAGGATAGTGAAGAATTTTTAAGCAGAGTTCAGAAAGCTAAAAGCAAATTCCTTGTGGAGGAGAAAGCAGCCCTTCCCTTCATTAAATAGTTCTTTTCCAAAACCCAAGGGCATACCACTACATACTTATCTAAACAAATACCAAGGCAGAAAAAGAAACATAATCAGGCAAAAAAAGCACAGAAAAAATAGGCATAACTACCCAGAACAGAGAAGCTAGAAACAAGGCAAACAGCAAAGCACATCCACCAACCAAAAAGAGGGATTTTCAAACAACATACTCATGGAACAGATGACTGACACTATTGTGGTATGCAATAAACGTTCCATGTATGTGCTCATGCCCAAAGAACACTCAAACTACACATGCATTAGATGTAAACTATGTGAACTGCTACAGGAAAAGATAAGGAACCTAGAGGCAACTCTAGCCAAACCCCAATGTACAAAAGAAAGTTCTACCCAAACAGAACCAATTAATGAACAAATAACTCCCAGAGGATTTGACCGTACTGATAAATCCTTAGAAGAAGACAAATGGAGGTATGTCACTCACAGAAGGAAACACAATACTCAAAGAAAAAAGCAACATACAACTAACAAACCCCTTCTGCCCAATCCAACCCAACCAGAAGCAGCCCCACTAAAACTGAGCAATCGATTTCTCCCCCTAGATGGAAACATGCAGACCCACAACCTTCCCCTAAAAAAAAAACCATGCAGACACCTAGCAAGTAAACAACTTCAAATATCCCTAAAAAAGTCACCTCAAACATGCCTAAAAAAGTCACATCAACAAACACACCACAGATAAACAGAAAAGCACCCCAGACTTCACCCCCCCCCCAAAAAAAGAAGGTGAGTGTTGGTAATAGGAGATTCTATCCTCAAAGGAACAGAATCATCCATCTGCAGACCAGACATACAATCCAGGGAGGTATGTTGTCTCCCAGGAGCAAAAATCAAAGATGTAATTAGGCCTACAGATTACTACCTCTTCCTTCTCCTCCACATTGGGACAAATGACACAACAAAGAACCTGAGTACAATAGTGAGCGACTACAAACAACTAGGCAACAAAGTTAAGAAGCACAAGTAGTGTTCTCATCAGTACTCCCAACGAAAGGCCAACACCCAAAGAATTCTAGAAATAAACCACTGGCTAAACATTTGGTGTCACCAAGAAAATTTTGGTTTCCTGGATCATGGACTGTATTTCCTTCATGAAGGATTCTTGGCAAGGAATGGGCTGCACAAACAGGGAAAAATGTACTGGCCCAACTCATCAGGAGGGCTTTAAACTAAAATTGAAGGGGGAGGGTGACCAATCTTCAGAATCTCTAGAACCCAAAACCAATCATAAATCTGAAGAAAACAAATCAAACAATGAGGTGGGCAGAGATGAAAAAAAGAGAAAAACTCAAAACAACATTCAGAAAGTGCAGGAAACATACCCATACACAGGCATAAAAGCTTTAAATGCTTATATACAAATGCTCAAAGCTTGGGGAACAAAGAGGGCAAACTAGAAGCAATAGTACACAAGGGTAGGAATGACATAGTTGGCATTACAGAAACCTGGAGGGATGAAACCCAGGAATGGAATGGACTGATGGATGGATACAAATTGTTCAAAAGAAACAGGTCTACAAAAAGAGGAGGGGGAGTTGCACTATATATAAGAGAACACTACCTATTTACAGAAACGCACATGATCAAAGATAAAATCTCTCCAGAATGTATATAGATCAATATAAAAGAGAAAAAAGTGACATTACCATAGGTGTATATTACAGACCACCCAACCAATCAGAAGAAATAGATGAACTCTTTGCCAACCAGTTAACAAATGTATGTAGGAAGTATACCACAATAGTAATGGGAGACTTCAACTATCCAGATATCAACTGGGAGACAAACTCTGCAGTGAGCGAGAGATCAAACAGATTCCTAACCAACCTAGCTGACAACTTTGTCATCCAAAAGGTAGAGGAAGGAACTAGATGTAAAGCCATACTGGACTTAATTCTAACTAATAGAGAAGAAGTGATAGAGGGAGTTGAAATTGCCGGAATCTTGGGTGAAAGTGACCACGTTGTACTGGAATTTAATATAACGCAAACACTAGCAACAGAAAACAATCCAACCAGTGTCTTGAACTTTAAAAGGGCTGAATTTAACAAACTCAGAGAGAACCTAGGAAAGATTCCATGGATAAAAATCCTAAAGTGGAAAACAACCCAAAAAGCATGGGAAACTCTCAAAAATGAGATCATAAAAGCCCATATAAGCACAATACCACTGAAAAAGAAAAACAAGAAATTCAAGAAGAAACCAGCATGGCTGCACAAAGATCTCTCTGACAAAGACAAAAAGGACAAATACAAAAAATGGAAAGAGGGGCACATAACTAAGGCCGATTATCAGCAGACAGCCAGAACATGTAAAGATGAAGTCACGAAAGCAAAGGCTCAGAATGAACAAAGACTTGCAACAGAAATCATGGATAATAAAAAAAAGTTTTTCCAATATATTAACAACAAGAAAAAAGTCAAGGAAACTGTAGGCCCACTAAAGAGAGAAGATGGCAAGGAAATAACAGGCAACAGGGAGAAAGCAGAGCTGCTTAACTCATACTTTACATCAGTCTTTACACAAAAAGAAATCATAGCCCAACATACCAAAAAAAACCCATTGCAAAAGACAAATTAATAACAAAAATTAAAATAAGCAAGAAAATGATAAGAGAACATCTATCCGACCTTGATGAATATAAATCACAGGGGCCTGACAGATTATATCCCAGAGTTCTGAAGGAGCTGGCAGATGTTATTGCAGAACCACTGCACCACATCATTCAAAAATCCTGGAGCACAGGGGAAGTACCTGAGGATTGGAAAAGGGCTGATGTGGTGCCTGAGTTTCCCTATTTTCTTACCACCTGTTTGATTAGTGCACTTGGTGGGGCACTCACTATTAAAAGCTTGATTTTGCTTGACAGCAAGGTTGATATTCTTATCTGCACACACGTCTATGTTACATGCACTGATAATCCTATAATTTTTAGATTGTCAGGGAAAGGAATGTTCTGTATCAATTAACTCACTGTCCCCGTTGTTCAGTTTAAATATTTCTCCAGAAAATCTGTGAATTTATTGCAAAGTAACTCAGTTTCTTTCTTTGATGGATGCAAACCATCTCTTTTGTACATTTTTTCATTGGACCAGTGGCAGACATCATGACTAATATAACCAAAGCCTTCCCCTTTATGCCACTCTTTTAGCCACTTATTAAATTCTAATGTATGCTGGCCTTTTCCATTTTGTTCCTTATACACTGGTAAAATCTCTGAAAAAGTAAGCCTACAGCCTATCCTGCTAAGTTCCTGCCCCAAGCTCTGGAAATCCTTCTGCACAGAGAGTACATCTTTTTGGGACAGATCATTGGTGCCAAGATGTACAATAGCATCCACATCACAGCCCTTGCTGGCATTCTTGACTATCTTAAAAATATGCTTCTTGTCCCTACTGGCGGAAGACACCTGACCTCTTTCAAAACCTCTGTATCCTTTCCTAAATTTACACCCCTTATAATTGAATCATCAACCAGAAGGTGGCTTCTCTTTTTGGATGCCTTGCTCTTCTTGCATGACTGATATGTAATACCTGATTCACACTTTCCCCTGTCCAAAACAAGTTCTTCATCTCGGACCACGACCCCATGCTTATTTGAGTTATCATCATCACAACTACCTTGACCTGTCTCCTTAGTGTCCCCATTAAGGTCAGCAAGAGCACTGAATCTGTTATGGAGGGATACAGCAAAAGCTTTGTGTTTATAGTTCACAGCTCTCATCCTGCCAGATCCCACGGTTGCCCATACTGCCCTTCTCCTGCAGGATCTTTGTGGTAGAGGGGGCTGATAGTGTGGCAGCTCAATGGAGCAGAAGGGCTGAATTGGACACCTAATTTCTGCCTGAAGAGCACAGATAACAGACCTTAGATAAGTAATCTGTCCTTGTAGACTAATGATTTATTTACAGATAGGACAGTATCCAAGTTTGAAAAGAGTACTGCGAAAGACATCTGCAAAACATGTGTTGCACTGAACTAAGCCAGACATTCTGAAATAAAATGAAATCACAATCTCAGACGCACTTGCCCTGAAATTACTACTACTATTTTAGATTTTTAGTGATATGATTTGTGTGCTGTTAGGCGCACGGGCTTCTACCTTTCTCTTCTGCACTCACAGCTAGCAGCTCTTCCCAGCAGCTTCTAGGACAGAAGTGTCAAATTTACAACATCACGTGACCTGTTGTGGCTTTTTTTCCATTGCCAGCAATGGGGTGGGCGCAGATTTGGCATGACGCATCCAGCCCGCGGGCCAGCAGTTTGATACCCCTGCTCTAGGAAGTAAGTTCAAGTGCAATGGAGATCCAACCAGCAGCTCAGCTACCTTTCTCCTCTGCGTATTTCCTAAGTTTCTCTAAGTACAAAATAATAGGTTTTTCTTTCACATGTTAATTTTTCTGATTGCTAAATTCTCTCTCTCCTTCCCCCATTTGTATTTTCATGGTGATAGATTCAAGTATATATTTTCCATATATCTTTCCATGTAAATTTGTGAATTTAAAAAGGTGATTCTGCAGATAATAGCAAGCCATATTTCCTATACACCAATTAGGAAAAGTTATGAGCGTGCTTTGTTTTGAAGTGTTTTAAGATTTAATAGATGGAAAACAGTAACATTTTTGCATTATTCTTGGAAATAGTACAATGATCATGCATTCTTATTGTCAGTGACTCAGGAATAATCATATTTCAGCTCCATTTATTTTTCAGACGGTATGTCTAATTAACATTATGAGCTGTTTACCTTTACTGCAGAAAGGACCATCATAAGCTGTCTGGGAGCAGTCGCATGAGTATCCATTATATTTTTCAACACATTTGCCATGATTTTTGCAATGTATTCCATAGCTCGTGCAATGGCCAGAACAACCAGGTTTCACACCTGGGGTAACTTTTGCTCTCTCTTCTAAATCCAGAGTCAATCCATTCATTCTTAAAGAGCGAATGCAACCCAAAAATCCTTTCTGTTCACCTGCGGCACCTGAAGAACATAAATTAAAAATAAACAGAATGAACAGAAAATTACCACTTAATGAAAAATGAAGAATAGTTTCAGCTGAAATCCAGAAGCCAAATAAAGCCTTGTAGATAGATTCTTGTTCATTCTCACTTACCCTCCCGGAGATATCAGAATATGGGTGGAAGGCTATCTATTTCAATAGGTCTAATTGAGATTCTATTAAATTTTGGAGTGAGAAAACAGATTTGCCCTCTTCAAAATTGCCTTTCTAAATGTGCAAACATAGGAGAGCACATTAACCTGAGAGAGAGATTATTTTTTTTTTTGCTAAATAGTGACTGGGTAATTTTCTAGGCCTTAAAATAAGTCTAGAAAAAGAAATAGGCAGTATAGAACTCAAATTAAATTAATTAAATGCAGCAATATTAAAAAATAACAGTTGCAATTAATATCAGATCTGCCCCAGCTGGTCCCTCAGGAAAGTAACACTCTTGAATCCATTGAGTTGAATCAAAATAACTTTTATTGAGAGAAACTGGATGAAGTAAAGTCAGCTTGAATCTGAAGATCCTGCACAAACCAGGATCTTTTGGTTTCCCAATCCCAACCCCACTGACCAGTCCACCAGCAGCCAAGGTAGTGCCAAGATGATGTTTGAGAATGCTGAGGTGCTAGGCAGATAACAGTTCACAGTCAGGGCATGACAGCCTTGGAACCTGGTGAAAACTGGCTGGGAAGGAGTCCATCCAGTCTCCAAAGATAACCTCCCTCCCTAATTCTCAAGCAAACAGCAGAAGCAAAATGTTCCAAGCATGGCACCCCCCTCCCCCTTAGCACAATGGCAGGACACCAGAATACAAATGGTGGACCTGACATGCTGTCCCCCTGAACAGCAATGTTAGTCCTACAGCACAAAACACAATAAAGAAGGTAAAAAAGGGGTTAGAGTTAATAGCTTACTTAGGTTTATTGGGATATTGATTATGAAACTGTTTAAGGAGCCTAGTGGCTTTAACATGGTATTGATCAACCCATTCATTTTGGGAATCAGGAAAATCTTTTCATGTAACTAAATATTAAACCTTATCCTGATTTCTGCGTGAATCTAAAATGTCCTTAATTGCAAGTGTTGTTCCCCGTCTATCATTAAAGGCTCAGGCGGTGATGGCAATTCAAGTCTAAGGTATGTATGTGGGAGGTAATCTTGGTCTTTTGCAAACTGCAATGGAAAACTGGGTGAATATGTTGAAGAGATTTGGGCAAATCTAGTTCCAGCATTACTGGGTTAATAATGCACTTGATGGGAAAGGGACCTACATATTTAGGTCCTAACTTCTTTGGTGTTTACAGAGATTGCAGGTATTGGGTGAATAGGTAAATGTGATCATCGACATTAAAGGTTATTGGTTCCATGCACCTTTTGTCAGCTTGCTTTTTATATGTTTTCCTAGCATCTGTAAGGGATTTCCTCACAACTGGCCAAGTATTTCTTAATTGGGAGACTCATTCTTGTAAAGAAGGCACAGGGGGATCATTCAAACGTAGCTCAGGCATGGGAGTGAAGTCTTGTCCCATAGCCACCTTGAAAGGGTGAATTGAGTTATTGTATGCTGCCTCTGCAGATGGCAAAAGGTTCGTCTAGTTGTCCTATTAATAATTAATGTAGCACCTGAGATATTTTTCCAATACAGAGTTTGTGCATACGCACCTCCCATTAGTTCGGATGTGGTGACTGGAGCTAAGACCTTGATCAGTCCCCAGAAGGTTTAGGAATGTTTGCCAGAACTTGGAAGTGAATTGCACCCTGCTATTGGAGATTATGCATTGTGGGACTCTGTGCAGTTGGCTGACATGTTGCACAAAAAGCTTGGCTAGCGCATGTGCTGAGGGAATTTTTTGGCATGGGACAAAGTGTACCTGCTTGGAAAACAAATCAGTTATAATCCATATAATCATATTCCCTGAACTTTCTGGGAGTTCTACTATAAAATCCATGAAGATTTCTGTCCATAGTGCCATTGGCTCAGCCAACGGCTAGAGGAGCCGTGGGGTTTTTCCTTGCTGCTGCTTGGCAGAGGCACAAATCAGGCAACTTGCCACATAATTTTCAATGTCCTTCTTTAAGGACAGCCCCAAAACTGTCTTTTAATTAAATATAAAGTTTTCACAAAACCATAATGCCTAGCAGTTTCTTAATCCCAGGAGATAACACAAAGTAAATCAGTTGAAGTACTGTGCCCATCGGACTTGCTTGAGTGACAGCCTCTGTGAGGTTTTCAATGCCTCTAGATTTTTGTGGTCAGTCCACACCTCAAAAGGCATTTTGCTTTCTTCAAGGAAGTGCCTCCATGTTAAGAGTGCCCAGAGCATGGCCTAAGCCTCCTTTTCCCAGACCGCCCATCTCCATTCAGTCTCTGACAGTATAAAGCACAGGGCTGTGGGTTCTCTTGTTTGTTTCATTGCAATAGTATTGCCCCTACAGCCACATCGCTAGCATCTATCTGAATGATAAATAGGGCGTTTGGATCTGGGTGTTTGACGACAGGTTCGGCTGCAAATAAGTGTTTAAATTTCTTGAACGCTGCCTGGCACTCCATAGTCCATTTTAGAAGTTGGCTAGGCTTGGGCTTGTCTTCCCCTTTTTGTCTTTAAAAGATAGGTGATGGGGAGAGTGATCTGGACAAAAGATGGGATAAATTGGCGGCAAAAATTGGTGAAACCTAGCAACCTTTGCAATTGCTTTCTGGTGCATGGTAGGGCCCAATCCAATATTGCTTGGGCCTTTTGGGGGTCCATCTCGACTCCTTCATGCAATAGGTGGTAACCTAAATAGTCTATTTCACCCCTTTGTATAGGTGCTCATGCAGCACCTTATTAATTAGCTGCATAAAGATGGCCAGAGCACCCTGGAGGCCAAAAGGGAGGACTGGAAACATCCTAATGGACAATTAAAAGCAGTTTTCCATTCATCCCCTTCTTTGATCCTCACATGATAATAAGCCTCCCGTAGGTCCAACTTAGTAAAAATCTTGCCCTTTGCCAAGTGGGCTAGCATATCCTTCATTAAGACAAGGGGATAATTTTTTCCATGCAAACTCCATTTAACCCTCTACAGTCCGCACACAGGCAAAGCGATCCATCTTTTTTCCCCCTGAAATAAAATGGGGACCTGAGGTTGCAGTGGTTGGATAAATTCACTGGTGAGGGTTTTATCAATGAAGGAACACAATTCCTCTAATTCCCTTGGGGTCATCGAATAGAGTTTTGGCTTAGGTAGTTTAGCCCCCCTGTAAAATCTCTATAGCAAAGGGTGAGGTGAGATGGGAGCTCTTCCAACCCCTTTTCACTGAACTCCTCTCTCAAATCCCAGCGTTCTTTAGAGATAGAGCCAAGGTCTCTTTCCTGCTCTTGCACTGTGGCCCCTGCCTTGTGGCCTGCTGGATTAGTTTCCTGAATTTGTCCTGGGCCATGTGCTGGCAGGCTTGTCAGATTTTCAGCAGCTTCTTCCTCCAATTTACATAAATGTTCCACTTCTTGAGCCAGGACCAAGGGGCACTCCATTCTGGGAGCCACTATAAAGCTTAGAATCTTGGTATGCTCTCACCAGCCGCATTTCTAAAGACCATCTAGCTGGCAGAACACCATGGAACCTTCAGCTGTTTTAACTGTATCCCCAATCATTCCAGTAGGGCTGGGTTAACCAAGCATCAGGTACAACCTGAGTCCAGGAGGGCTGGTAGGTTGGCTTTTAGCTGTGACAGCTAGATAATTAGCTCTATGGGGGATCATTGCCAGGGTCATCAGGCTACTTACCAAGGGAATGTCATTGGTGTCAGTGTCACCCAGACCCTGGCCCTCGATTGGCAGGATCAGAGTTCCCTTTCGGGAGATGGGATGAATTCAACAACCTCTACTCTTTCAATGCCATTTCTTGGGATCATTGTGGAGGTTTAGCAACTTTCCCTATAGGACTAGGGATGGTCTTCTTGGTGGGTCACAGCTCTTGCACTCTGTTGCACAGTGCCCCTCCTGACTGCATTTGAAGCAAGCTGTCTCTCACACCAAAGTGATGCTCCGCATCTTAGCACCGTCACTAGGTATTTTGTGGCCATACCCCTGCATGTAGGTCAGGACATGGGCCAAGAAGAACCCCAGTTGTTGAAGATCCCCATCAAATTTCACTCTGAGGGTTGGGGTATTCTGACTCTTCCCCCTGGCTGGGGCAGCTCTGATCACCTTGCAGTTCAGGGGACTCGCAGGAGTCTTCTCCAGCACTATAGTTCAAAGGCCTCAATTCTTTTGCACTCAGCCTTTCTTATGGTCCAACTTTCACAGCCATACATTGCAAATGGGAAAACCATGGCCTTGACTATACGTACTTTTGTTGGCAGGGTGATGTCTCTGCTTTTTAGTATGCTGTCTAGATTTGCCATAGCTTTCCTCCCCAGGAGCAAGCGTCTTTTAATTTCTTGGCTGCAGTCCCCATCTGTGGTGATCTTGGAGCCCAGGAAGATAAAATCTGTCACTACCTCCATTTCTTCCCCATCTATTTGTCAGGAATTGAGAGGGCCGGATGCCATGATCTTGGTTTTCTTAATATTGAGTTTCAAGGCAACTTTTGCACTCTCCTTCTTCACCCGCATCAAGAGACTCTTTAGTTCCTCTTCACTTTCTGCCATTAGAGTGGCATCATCTGCATATCTTAGGTTGTTGATATTTCTTCTGGCAATCTTAATTCCAACTTTTGATTCATCTAGCGCTGCCTTTCTCATGATGTGCTCTGCATATAAGTTAAATAGGCAGGGCGACAGAATACAGCCAATTTTGAATCAATCAGTGGTTCTGTGTCCAGTTCTCACTGTTGCATATAGGTTTCTCAAGAGACAAATAAGATGGTCTGGTACTCCCATCTCTTTAAGAACTTGCCACAATTTGTTGTGATCCACACAATCAAAGGCTTTAGCATAGTCAATGAAGCAGAAGTAGATGTTTTTCTGGAACTCCCTAGCTTTCTCCATGAT